GAAAGAAATGTATTTATTCATGTTCCAAACTTGCTACTCATCTTCCTGCTCTCCTCCCTAAAAGGCCATCATAATCATGGAGCAAAGCCTTCCTTATTTCCAGTGCCCTCCACAGCTAACACGGGCGATCTGCTGTGCATGGAGTCCTCTCTCCAAGGGCCAAGCCGTGGACCACTTTCAGTAGGAAGAGCACCTCTCCTTACTTAGGTGGAATCATTCCAGGGACTCGGGCGGCCCCGGAAAGAGCCACATTGACTCAAGTAAGAGAATAAAGAGTTGCCGAATAGGACAGAACCCAAGCACTCACTTCCCCCAAGAGAGAAAAGGTGAAGCTGGTTTTCTGGGACGAATGAGTGAAGTGGATGGTGAAGGGTCACACCCTCTGTCACTGCTGGCTGGGGGCGCAACCCTGTTCACATCCCCAGCTCCAGACACGGGCTGCTCTCGGCTCAGCTGGCAAGAAGGTCTGTGGGGCTTGAAGGATCGTAATGGGTTAGTAACTAAGGATCCTGCTCTGGAAAATGAATTGCAGAGTTCAGTATGAAGCAAATGGACTGTCTGAAATTCAATTCATATGGGTCCATAAATGAAAAAACTGTGGCTCCAAAAAGTTGGAGGTACAAGAAAGACATTTCTTCCAAGAGAAAATCCAGACTAAAGGCAGAATTTAAAACTTTATAATTTGGGTATCTACGAATATTCTATGTCTAGTTTTTAAAAGGGAGCTTCGTTAAATGGATTTGGACACTAATTTTTTTTTAAAAGCCCACACTCAAAATGCAAGAAAAGACTACTTTCTTCATTAAGGCAAAAGTAGTCACTTGGAACATATAACTGTACTATGAGGGAGGGGAGCGTAATACGGCAATTGTCTCAATTTCCAAGTGAAATCTGAAAACAAGCAGTACGTTTTAGCCTCAAGAGCACTGTGCACCCCCACAGAATACAATAATGCCTCCTAGAGTTATGCAGAACTGAGCAATGCAAGGCATGGGATACAGAGAAGACCAGGAAGGAAAAATCTGCTCCACTCTGGATACACATTCAGGTTCTGTCATGAATGCTCCAAAAAAAAAAAAAAAAAATCTCAATAATCTAAGTAAGTGCACTCACTGATATTTTTCCAAAACATTGCACTTTTCTGTATGGCTTCCACACAGACTCAGTGGTCAGGGCAAAGGATTTGAGAGAGTGAGAGACGTTTCAATTTATCTTTTGGGCACAGGTCCTGGTGAAGTCAGTAGAGAGTAACTTTCAGAAGAAAAGGGGAAATTCCCCACCTCCAGTGTTTCTTCATTTCCAAGCTACTTGAATTAAATGAACATAATGCAGGAATCTTACACTTTCTAGGACAACCTTTCCGTGACAACTCAGGAAAAGAAGATGCCTACATCCCACCCTCCCACCTGTAAGCCCATGAATCTAAAGTCATGATTTTGAGTTAAGAAAGGAAATACTAAGAAATTCTACTATTATTTCCAGGACGCTTCAAACAATGTGAGTTTCTATGCTCTGTCTACACTGCCTGACCAGGCACTGTGGGTAATGCCCCAAGAGACAGAGGCAGGGTAAGCTTTTAAAGGCACTGCATTTAACAAGCTGGGTTCTTTAACACAAACGGACACATTTCCGTACATATTTATAAGCCCTGGTGGTTATTATTAGGCTGTAATTGTAGTTGTTCTAACACCTAATAAGCTATGGTTGGAAAAACAAAGGCAGGTTAATTTGTGATTTCCTCTACTCATTCAGAGGCAAATTAAGTGTCAAACGGCTAATACGGAACATATTTCATTTTATGAGATTTTAATTTAATTCTGCACCATATCGTTGATGCCTTAATATAGGGTGGTTTATCTAAAAAGAAAAGCAATTTATAAACCTCTTTCAACAGAATCTTTAATGATAGGATATGATAGCTTAATTATCACAGTTCCTGCCATCCTTCTAAACAGAGGTCTGCCGGTACTTCCATCATGAACACAAATCCCGTTTTCAAGAGACTTATAATTTTGTTTTTAAACCTGGCACCAGAAGGACAATTATGTGTACAAAATAATGAGAATATCCCCCAATTTTGTCTTGGTATAATTAAAAGTGTTTATCCTAAAAACTCTGTAAGCTCACTTGATCTCATTTTCTGGAAGACAGTTACAGAAAGAGCGTTTTGGAACCTGAGTTCTAGATAAAACCATTTTACTTTTCCAGGATACTGCTTTACGGCTCAGCGAAGATGTCTAGATTTCAGCAATGAAACCATCCTGGCCCAGATGACCCTCCGCTCCCAAAATGATCACAGGCGTCCACTCCTAGCAGCACCTCAGAAGGTGCAAAAGCAAGGAAGGGGTTCGTGATTGAGCGAGGCCAGTGTTTCTCGGGCCCCCGCTGCATCGAATGCTAACTCCCAGCACTTGTTTAGAGCCCGGGGCTCCGAAGACTGCTCACACTTTTAGGACTTCATTGAACTCCTCCTGCAATTTGGAGAGTCCGGTAAGGAAGAAAACCACATTTCCAGGGGATGAAACTGCTCCACGCAAGGGCAGGTTAGCAGAGTTCCCAGAACAGGTAAGTGTAAATAAAGCAAGCGTGGGGGGATTGGAGCTGTCCTGCTCATCCAGTCTCCCAATGGACAACCTTTTCCAAGGCGCCTAGCCCGGTGCTGGGCACTGCCGGCCAACGAGCAGGAAACCATCAGGAAAGGGGGTATGCACCACAGTGAAGGCTCACGTGGGGCGCTCTGAGGAACAGCCTCGGGAACACCAGCAGAAATGACGTTTGAATTAGGCCTTGAGGATGAGGAGTTGAAGCAGAAGTTGGCCATGCAGCAAGGGAGGGCCACCGAGGGCGATGCGGAGAGAATGTCCTGTTACAAAGGCGCACGGGAGAGATGGGCCCTACCCTCCTGGAGCCAAGTGCAAAGCCCAGGTTCTCCACCTACAACCCTCCTAGGGCTGGCAGTCCCGGGGGGTCACAGGCCCACCTCCTCACTACGCTCTGCCCATGGCAATGATGCTCTGAAGCCTCCAGGACTCTCCTGTGGGCCTCGGGATGGTCGACTAGCCTGACATTGTGAATTTTGGTAACAGTCCATTTAGGCAGCTAGAGAACCATTTAGTCAATTGTGTGAAAGTACCCGAAGGCCTGGCCGGAAAAGCAGGAAGTCCCTAAAACCTATAAAAATTCCAGCTCAGCAGTCATACCTGAAATGCAACCCCTAACCCCAGGACTTTCCAAACTTGACCTGCCTCATCTTGTGGTGTCTTTATCACAGGTGAGCTAATACTGAAGGTACAGTGATCAGGGCCCAGAATACAACGTGTGGGCTATATGAGGGCTTGCTATTGTTGTATTCTGCCAAAGAACCAAGACTTGGGATTTTTAACAGTTAAATTCATATTTGCATTTAATAACAAGGCAAACTGTAATGAACCCATAGGAACTAGTTCATTCCATCATATAAACTCATTTTTTGGGGAAGTTTCTCTGTAACAGGATTTTGGGAAGCACAAAGAATTCTGAAATTCCACAGAAAATCTGATTTAAATTACCACGTCACAGAGACTGGAGTCTGGGAGGAATCAGCCATGGGCATCTCCAAAGCTGGTCTGGTCCTTGCTGGCTCTGTACCACGGGGCAGAGCCTCGTCGAGGACCTTTGTGGGCCCATCTGCCCCGCAAAGCCTCCATACCACAGGGGTGAATTACACGGCAGGTTTTGGCCTGAATTTGGAATGTCCTTCCCTTTTTGTATACGGGTTTTTAACTGGCCTCATGGTTTTATTTGAGTATATTTTTAGCAGGCTTCAGAACCCTGTGAACACTTCCTTGTGTTCCAGTGAAAAATCAAAGAGTAAGTCATAAGTTTCTATATTCCCTCTCTATAAATACCCACTTCTCCTTTAATGCTCATGGAAGTCTGCAACACAGATTTATTACTTACCTCCAGGCAAATCTGCTCTGAAATTACAATTCAATAATGGGGGATGGATCCAAAAAACTGTTGGTAAAATATTATATGTGTGCGTGGGCATGTAGTTATGGCTGTTAATATCAATTAATTCTGTTCACAGAGGAGGACTTGTTTTAAAACAACTTCATTTTTCTTTGGCATATACGTAATTACACAGCTTAACTAATGGCCATGGAGACACAATCTACCATCTAAATAACCAGCATTATTCTTCAAAGTATTATTTGTGCTTTTCTAACTTTACTGTCTCAGAATGCAGGGTGATTACCAGATCTGACTAAATGTATACATCAAGGCCATGAGGAAAGGGCGGCCCCTCCCAGACGCTGGCTCCGGTAATTACAGTTCCAGACGGTCCTCCGGACATGACGATAAGAGAATATCATCTTAGTGTGGAAGTCCACTACTCTTTTTACCCCCAACCTGGGTGAGATAATATTTGTTTCCACAAAATGCTCTGTTTTCTTTTCTAATGTACATGATCACCATCATTCTTTCCCTTTATCTTTGTGTAAATCACGCACTTGATCATGGGTGCCATTCTGTTTGGGAGACATTTCCATCAATCAAGTCCCTGTCGCCGTGCACACCATGGGGGCCCTGAAAATTCACCATAAAAATTTCATGACAATTCGTTGTGCTCGCTGGGACAGGAAGGACTTCCGGGTAATGGGAATATTAGCATGAAAAACTTCAAACCCAATCTCTCCCAGATACATATTCTCTGAGGGGTAAGTTTCCATTAGACCTCGACTATTTAATTTAGTATTTACAGCCCACAGAACACACATCAGCAAAATATATAGTGAATACTTGCCAGCCACCTAGTGTGACAGGCATTCTTCAGGAAGCAATGGGGATCCTGCTTCAGTGAGTCCAGGAACAGACAGGCTTGCCATATTTCAAAAGTAAATCTTACACTCCTACCACATCTTCAAAGCCCGGGAGGCGCACCGTTAACAAAACGTCGTGGGACAGGAAGAGCTCGTGCTCGGTTCTGCTTCGTTAAGGGGTAAAGTTTTACTACTTACACATGCAGTGGAGGAATTGGAGACGGGTCATAATGGTAACGCCCCTCATGATGTCTTGCATCGATTGGTACGGGAGGGTGGAATGCAGGAAAGAGATGAGAAGGGTCTGAAACAGAAAGAAAATCCAGCATGTATAAAAGGAACGCTCTGAAACAGAATCCCAGCCCCTGACACCACACCGCGCTTCTGCCTTCACAAGGTAGGCCCGGTCCACTTTCGAGAATCTGTGGAAACACTCTTCCAAGTTCATTAGGAGGCCACAGGGGACCCCAGAAGTATGACCAAGCACCTCGTACCTGCACCCCCAATGACATGGGGGTGAGGAATGCTGTGACAACCCACACGGAAAAACAAGAAAGGGGAATAAGGCATGTCCCATCCTGAAGGGAAGAGTAAAGGGAGCGACAAAACCAAAAGGAACGGATTTCGAGACACACATTTCCTTCTATAATTGTACTGTCAATGGAAATTTAGACAAAGACGTAATATAAATACTAGTTTTGTTTCTCTCGTATCCATGATGCTTCACAAAAGAGTCTTTTTTAAAGTCCCTGCTAGAATCCATGAGTCTATATACATGTATGTCTGCTGTCATATATATGCATGGTACACACACACATGATTTTAACATTCAAATGCACACTCCCCTCCTTGCTGTCCTGGGTCAGGCCTCCACAGTCCTGACACAAGCACAAGGACAGCAAATCTACAGGTTAGCCAGAGAAATGGGCTAACCGGGCTGGAGGAGGTGGGCGGACCTTCTCACACTGACAGGGGGAGGCTGGGAGCAAAGGAAGACCCCCACCCTGACATTCACCTTGGACCCAGACCGGCCTCCCCCTGTTGGGCTCAGGCTGGGGTTAGCGTTCTCTGGGCTCCTCCTATGTGTGCGCTACTTCAGATAGTTCCTCAACTCCACTGACTAGAGTAACTTAAGCGGACCGTCTCTGACAGATCTGAACATCAAGGTTTTTGTTTTTGTTTTTTTTCTAAATAGTGATCCACTGTAAAACCTGAAAAGAATTTTGCCAGATTTTATCATGAGAAGCTTGGTTGATCCCAAGTTTCTCCCCAAGTTGTAGGAAGCAAAGGGACGGAGTGAAGGTGTGGCTCCACGGCCGTGAGCCTTGCATTACGGCATATACGCCGAAGCCTCTCTTCAAATATTGCCTTCCACACACGCATGAAGCCATCCGGCTGCTATTGCCCGAAAAGAGTCCCAGGGATTGATGTGCACACCAAAGGTGCCTCAGGAGGGCTTCCAGCGTTTTCTAAAAGTCTGAAGGTTTTGCTAGACCTGAGGTAGCCGGTAGTACAGACGATCCAAATGAGGCCCTGAAAACGGGTTCTGAGTTGCGTCTGGAAGAAGGGACACAGAACCTCCAGGTGGGGGTGAGGGGCTGTGCCAAACATGGACCAGGCGTGACCCACCCCCGCACCATGGATGTGCACACGTCCCCATATCTGAGTGGTGTGTGTGTGTGTGTGTGTGTGTGTGTGTGTGAGGAATTCAGGTGTTTTTCCTTTTCCTCCCTATACATTTCTCTTTCTCCTAAATTTTCTTCAACAAGCATCTTTTAGAATGTCAACATAACAACTTTTTAAAAAAAAAAATTACGAAGTCTTACTTCCCTTGTTCGAACTTTGCCCTTGCTTCCTTCCTTTGAGAATCGACCAGTAAGGTTAGGAGGAAAATAAATAAAATAAGAGTGAAACACTATTGACACCGCGTTGACAGAACCAAGGCAGTGCCCGAAGCTATGGGTCCACCAGATGTAGAACCTTTCTTGGAAAACCTCTAGGACTAGGAGAGGAATGTTGTAACAAAAAGGCTTTCTGACTGTATCCAGGGCTGCTCGTGAGATAAAGGAGGGAGAAGAGGAATCATCGTGGGGCCCGGCTAGTCATTGTGATACCACCAAGAACAGCCACGCTGGAAACTGAACAGGTGAAGGATTTCCAACCACCTCATCACTTGCCACACTATACACTGTATAAATTCCACACAAGAAAAAAATCAATTCTATTTTAAGTGCACTGCTTAGGACTTAATATTAAAGGATGTTGGCATCTTTTGTAATGCAAATCTTGATGGCTGGCATGCTAAGTTTGAAAGTTGATCCAGCACTGCTGTCAGATTCAGTCTGGGCGTCCTGTGAGTCAGTCATCCTGCAGAGCCAAAATGTCCAATTTCACTTAACCATTTTCGACGAAAATTATTCATCCTTCTTAAAACAACCTACAATTGAGTGGAGTAATCTTTTTCACTAGTTTGAAAGTCTGACACACGTTCAGTAAATATTTCCAGATTTTGAATTTTGAACCAGGCCTCAATGTGTCAGATTTGAGTCCAGGGTGAGGGGGATGGCCACCAGACGCCGGGGTGGCTCCTTCAGTGGTCGCTGCTCACATGAACACACTTGCCTCCCGTGGACTTCAAACTTAGTTCACGTCATCTGCTCTTGGAAGTCAGAGAAATAAGGCCACGAGCACTGTGTTTCAGTCAAGCATTCATAAAGTCTGACCCACCTCCTGAGGGTTTCTCCCACATATTTTCCAGGGCCGTTTTGAGGGACATTGTGACAAACACATCAGAGTTGGAAGATCTTTCCACATCTTCCCTTCCTGGCTCTCGGCTGTGGTCTGTGTGATTTAATTCTCTCCACCCGATAAGTGGGTGTCAACCATATCTGCTTTTCTCTATGTGGGTTCAACGATGAATTACGACAAGGCACAAATCCACATTTTTCATATACACGGGGCTCAAAAGGTGTGAATTTATTCCACTTTCAGTATCTGCCTCACACAACCAGGAAGTAACACCCCTTCTCATCGTTTGAGTTTTGATCATGATGTTGCGCTGATTATGTGCACACAGGGAAAGACCGACCTGTTGATCCTATAAAATCAAGAGTGCACCCGAGCAGCATAAAAATCTCCTCCCTAAGAAAACCTGTAGAGCTGTCACGGACATTTAAAAGGCACCGCCACCTTTTCACTTTAACGAGAAGGTATTTTTACAAGATTTTAATTCACTCTTATTCTCGCCCTCTCTCCTTTCAGAATGAAAGAGAAAATGACCACGCACTGCAAAAACAATTTGGGAGGAAAATGGAAGGCGCAATTATTGGGACATTCGTAGTCCTTCCTCACTGTTGCGTCTGATGTCTTGTGAGCTTTAAAGTTCATTCTGACTGAGAGTATGTGTTTATTTATGTCCTAAGGAAATCTGTAGATTCTGCATTCTGGAATTAGGGTAAATAAAGAACAAAAATTAACGGGACTGATCTGATTTGAGCATACACATCTGGTCTTGGTTTAAGCATTTTACTCTTTCTATTTGCTTCCCTCTTGATGCAGCCTGAAATAAGTTCTCTTGGACTAATGAAGTCTGTGCAAACAACTCTTCCTGGTGCGTCCGTGATCAGTGGAGATCACAGCTCCTGAGCTACCTTCCGGAAAAATGCACTGCAACACCCCTCCTGCACTTCGAGACAGGCCTGAGCACGGCTTCACGGTATAAACGAAGAATAAAAAAAAAGAGAGAGAGAACGATTCTGTCCCGTCCCATCTGTGCCATCGCATGACATTAACCCTCACGCATTGCTCTCACAGAAAAAAGTACCCAAATCCTCCAAAGCTGGGTGCTTTCCTTGCATCTTGGCCTGTCGTTTGTATGTGGAAGATTGGCAGCGTATTCCATCACAGGCCCAAGGAGCCGTCCAAGAAAACCCACACGACAAGAACAGGCGCGTGTCGCTAGCAGCCACCATAATTAACCACCGCGCGGGTGTCTATTTACACACGAGCAGCGCAGCTGTGGAACATCATAACTCAAGTGGATGTGTGCAGAAAGATGCCGCACCGCAGCCCTCTCCTGCTCGGGCCCTTGACAAAACACCGTGTGATGACTTTTCCAAAGTCAGGAGAAAACTGCTGAAGCAGAAGGAAGTGCCACTAAACCTGGCTACCTCCTATTTATCATACAATTTCCTGACTGATGGTTCCACAAACCAGCTGCTAAGTGCTGTGTACTCTACTGTCAGCAAACTAATGGGCTAAATGGAAGACGGGGAGAATAATGTGCAGAACTGGTAGAATCAATTTTACTGAGGGAATTAAAATTCTACCAGGTGGGGGTGAGGCTGCGGAGCCGTGGTAAGCAGTCAACTGTACATGCTTATGGTTGCAAAGATGATTTATTGCATACTTGCAAGAGGCTTGACTATTAGACCAAATTCCTCTTGTACTAACCAGAGATTTGAAGAGTGCATATTATCCGAGGCTTCAGTGGAATAGCCTTTAAACCCCATAAATATGTAATTGGCTTGACACGTGTTTAAACTGAAATGCATAGTAAAAATATTTGTGCTGGGTATAGTTGTCAGTGTTGGATTTCATGCTGGCTGTCATCACAGTACGCATTAAGGGTCTCATTAGGAATGAGAAGCATTGATCTCGAGGTCTCTTCACAACAGCCTGGGTTGATCGTAAAAGCTATACCCAGAGAAAGACACTTGGAGATTTATCTTCGGTTGCATCTTTCTCCTAAGAAATAGTTTTAGTATCCTCGGGCTAGAAGATCTCTTAGATGCCACTCTGGAAAACTGTCTTTTAAGGTATGAAATTTCCATATAAAAATTGCAGTTTAAAAAAGAGAGATCAAAGTTGGCTCATTTCGTGCCCTAAAGGAGTATAATTCACAGAGGGTACTTGAGGGTCCAAGTTCTCCTGGCTAATTTAAAGACTGAAGTCATCTGCGCACTCACTTTGGAACTTATTCGAGACCAGAACTAGAGATTATTTTTCCTGTCATTAGGGCAAAACCCTGCCCATAGGAATGTCCAAGCCCCTCAAAGTCACTCAATCGCCTGTTGTCAGCAGAAATATCATTAAAATCCCATGTGGCCACCAGCCACTATGCCAGAACCAAAATAATCACCTGGTGGCTATCGAATGAGAGGTCTCAAGCCAGAGAAAGGGAGAGGGAGAGAGACCCTTCCCCCTTCAGGGAGATGGGGAAGAGTCACCGGGGGTCTTGTCTCTGCCTCTTCCACCCTGGGCATCCCCAGTCATCACCTCAGTCCCTGCGAGACCTCTGCCAGG